CTTAATTTAGGAAAACATTTCACCCGAATTTGGACAATAGAAATTAGCAGCAAACCAATTAAGTTCTCGGGACAGTTACCCCGTTCAGAAACATTGCGATCTGTGGACACAAAACAAATATTCTTAAACCCTGACCACAATGAGACTTTCCTGTAGCTGAACATAAAAGGGAGGGGGGAAAAATATCATTGTCTATACATATTTTTAGATGAACAACCCCAATATCTACTTTGCGTTTCTTTCAAAGTAAAAAGAGAAAGAATGAATTTAACGGGTGACAGAATTCAATATCAGGTCATACCTAAATTGTAACCACAAGGGGAGAGCACTTGGTGTTTTCTTTGCAGTCAAAATCGCTAGTCACTATTACCTGATCCTCCAGCTAAAAGTCTAATGTAGCTGGCTGCAGAAACTGTAGGAGTGTGAGAGCAAAAGGTGACCTGGCAAACCTGTTAGAAAACGTTAGGTAGCAGTTTCGTAATCCAATAGCCAATTTATATTCTTGCTCTCTTTCATCTCAGTGCGAACATCAAAATTATGTTTCAAAAATACAATCTATTGCTAGCATTAATTCTATTTCTTTTTTTGCCTGGATGTTGTGCATCACTTTCTCAACTCTTATTGTATCTCCATCCTCCATTATTTACGGACAAAAAAATATATGCAATTGTCATTATAGACTTCATATAATTGCTTCTTAATCCACCTCCTTCTCTTTGAACATGTTCCTGGCCATCACGTTCTCCTTTACTGCCTGTAAAAATTATCGTCGTCATCTTCTTTTCTTTAAAACGTAGGTCCACAGGCTTTTTTTTTAAAAAATCTTTTTAAGGAAGTTCCCGTTTTCACCCATCCAGACGTTGAATTTCTGGACGGTTGTCTACTTCTCTGGATTCTGTCCGAGCACGTATATAATCACTGGTCTGTCGCGTGTTTTGCTGTCTGTTGGTGTTTCTCCAGCTTTTAACTGCTAAAAATGAATTCACAGCATAGGCTGTGGTTGCCAAAAAACCAAATATCTAAAAAGAGAAAGGGAACATTTGTTTGAAGAAATAGCAGAATAACTGTTAATAACGTTTAACAGAATATGGATTGTGGTGTGCGCTGTTGCTGTCTTCAGATCAAAAGGCAGCTACCTTTTACTGCCTTTAATACTGGTGTCCTGTTTGAAGGACAAATTATAATCCTTATCATAAAACTCCTTTAAGCACAAACCAGAGATAATAAGCCTACACTTTGGGGGGGGGTAATTATTATTTTTAACCCTGTTGGTGCCTTTAATATGAAATCATCAGGCATGTGAAAATACAGCATCCATATATGCCAAATATTTTCAAGTAATGCTGCAGGATAGCCATTTATCCATCCATGTGATTTTTGAGCTAAAGCCCAGCTCCATTAAAAACAAAAATAACATAAAGTAACTTAAACATATGATGACACGGATTGTTTCTTTTCCATTAAAATTTCATGTCCTCTAGATTTTTTGAGATATAATTCCTGGAATTCTGCAGGCAAAAATTATGGAATGGTAACTCTGAAAGCAGCCGGTTAGCTTATACCATAACATTGCAAAATCCTTTTGCGAAACGGAACTGCTCATTAACTAAAGCACCAATACACCATCTGCAATTCCAGTGCCCACACGAGGTTTTAGCAAAGTGTTGGCTTGCAATCCCTTCCTGAACCCGCTTCAAGGATTGTTGCTGAATCATGCTTTTTAATATATACCACAAAGGAGCAATTATTAAACACACGGAAAGTGATTATTAACTTTAAACAGTGTGGTATCTGGCATTATCACACAAAGACAAAGTGCAGGCTTACACACACACACACACACACACACACGGCTGCAAACCCCTGATCTACTCAGAAAAAAAGCTTGTCATGATTGTCACTTTATGGCAGTTCAAAAAGCTTTGTTATTAAGTTGTATGTTTAAAACAAAGCCAAATGAGATGGATCATTTATATATCAATAACCTGAAATGGTCAAATACTGTATATCGGCATTGTCACGATGGTAATAGCCAACATAAAGACAACAACCAATTTTGCTTCTTAATGTCTTCAATGTTTTGACTTCAAACAACATTGGTTGTTTAGGCTGATTGCTATACGAAGAGAGAGAGGCTGGTATTAAAATAGCCTAAATTGAAATTCTAACCAGCTATTAATCAGTCAGAACAGAGCTGTGAAAGGGACCTTCAAGGTCTTCTAGTCCAACCCCCTGGGTCAAGCCAGAGACCCAGCATAAATTAATCTGGGTGGCAGTTTGCTGTTAACAGTGGATTGACAGAAAACACAAATATTTCATCTTTTCGACAGGAGAAGGCAAATAAAATCAATGTTTTCTTACCGCAGCTACAATTTCTGCACCTTTTTTATGGTTTAAAGCTGCAAGTACTATCGACGCAATGAAGAAGAAGAAAGTGCAGATTCCAGTATTGACCAAATCCTATAAAAGCAAAATTATACATATTATTATATCTTAAGAATCTTAGAACAGAACAGAATATTCTTTATTGGCCAAGTGTGTTTGGAAGCACAAGGAATTTGTCTCCAGTGCAGAAGCTCTAGGTGTACATACGACAACAAAGTAATATAAACATAAGACACCTATAGGAGAAGGCAGTGGAACAGATGTGAAGGATAATAGTCATACAGCTCTACTACAGGGGGTAAATATGCTTAGACATAAGACTGTGCTCTGGGAACTAGGTGTTCAGCGGACCGATGCCATGAAGGGGAAAGTCTTTGTTTCTAGCTGTTTGGGCATTCAATGCCCTATAGTGGAATGTCCAGGATGTGAGAGGTCTGTAGATATTTTCTCAGCCCTCTTTCTCACCCTTGCAGTATATAAGTCCTCAATGGAACGCAGGCTAGTTGCAATTGTTTTTCTGCAGTCTTAACTATCAGCCGAAGTCTGTCATATTATCTGTCTGTCATAAGATCAACTAAATTGATGAAGCAGGACAGTTTGCATGCAATTAATTAGGTAAAGGTTCCCCTTGCACATCCGTGCTAGTCGTTTCCAGCGGTGCTTATCTCCGTTACAAAGCCGAAGAGCCAGCGCTGTCCGAAGACGTCTCCGTGGTCATGTGGCCGGCATGACTAAACGTGAAAGGTGCACGGAATGCTGTTACCTTCCCACCAAAGTGGTCCCTATTTTTCTACTTGCATCTTTACATGCTTTCGAATGGCTAGGTTGGCAGAAGGTGGGACAAGTAACGGGAGCTCACTCCGTTATGGGGCGCAATTAATTACTTTATGTCAAATTGCAACTCCACAGAAAAATACACATTATACAACCAGTGAATAATTGGTGCATTATAGTCAAGAAAAAGAAATTACTTAATAAAACAAGGGCAGTTTCTTCTTTTCTTCATTTCAATACTTCTGAACCCACAAAACATTCTTCTAGCCACAAGAACATTTTATAACTTAGCTACTGATATATAAATAGATTGCTAGCTCTGTCAGATCTAGAGAACTATCTGTATGCCTGCCACATGTCTCTTAGGGATTGACATGTTACAGGATCTCTGTAAAATGCTAATTCTGTTTGTGTGACATAGTTTTAGCATAAAGGAACATTTCTCTATGTCCTGGAGAATTTTTTCAAATATTCTTCATTCCTGAAACAACAAATCATTCAGTAACTTCTGCAATTCAGTTTCACAGACTTCCTGTTTAGCAATGGAGCTCAAATGATTTTAAGCTCACTGAATTCCCAACTGTATATAATTGGCATACTGTTATGCCCATTCATCATAATTCTAAGGAATTAGAGGTAGTTTTTGTTAAAAGCTTATTAGATGCTTTATAGGCTTACCAATACACTCAAAAAGAAAACAAGAGAAATGCAGATAATCCAGTTAATTGTATCATAGATTTCACAGGTTATAGACAAATGCTTAGCTAATAAACCTAATGTTCCAATAAAGGAATAGTTGTGATTCATTGTGTACATTTTTTACAGAAATATGCTAAGATCACTTTGTTTTTAGTCCATCTTCTCTTCCAGTTTCAATTTTTAGAGTTTTGGGGAAATAAAATCCAGAGTTTTCCAACCAGAACTGGATAGATGGATAGATGGATGGATAGATGGATGGATGGATGGATAGATAGATAGATAGATAGATAGATAGATAGATAGATAGATAGATAGGCAGGCAGGCAGGCAGGCAGGCAGGCAGGCAGGCAGGCAGGCAGGCAGGCAAATCCAATTTAACCAGCCAACATGAGCTCAAATCAGCTTTCTACAGCCAATAAGTTTTGATGTGGGAAATATTTACATTCACCGTCTATTTACATTAATTGATGTTTATATATTAAATGGATATCTCGAACAATCACATAGGGAAAGCTCTGTTCAATGAATAACTACAGATATTTTAGTAGCCACCTAGCTAAACAGTAGCCACCTATGTAATCATGAAAGCATTCACTGGATTAATGTGGAAAGGAAAAGAAACTGAATACATCGGTATGCATTACTAAGAAATTAATCAGTTTCAATTGCTGAGTGACTTAAAAAGTATGGGGTTTCACCACAGAGATGTTGGATTTTATTTGCACCCGTCGACAGCCCTTCAAGCCACAATCTGCTGGTTTAAGACTGATCCACACCAAGCCAAGGCATCATAGTTATCTCTGTTATAGTAAATCCAAAGCACTTTCTGGAAGGCAATCACATGGCTTATTTGAAACCAAGGAACTTGTTTAATTATAGTCGACCACAGCTTTCTCCAACTGTGCATTGCCTGGATATAAGGGAATAGAAACTTTTACAATTCCTAGCCAGCATAGAAGCAGAATGGGATAACTCGTTGCAGTCAGCTCACCATGGCCAACCTGCCATGGGAAAATTCAACAATTCAATTCTATAAAATAATTACAATTTTACTGTAATTTTTGTCATTCACATTTGGTTTTGCCCCTCCTTTATCACTCTTTCTTTAATGATTCTACTCCCATGATTTCTTCAATAGTAGCATAACTCATCCTGCTGTGAGCTGTTCCAAGGCGAGTTGTGCTAAACCAGGTGTCCAAACTTGGCAACTTTAAAACTTGTGGATTTCAACTCCCAGAATTCTCCAGCCAGCTATGCTGGCTGAAGTATTCTGGGAGTTGAAGTCCACAAGTCTTAAAGTTGCCAAGGCTGGAGACTCCTGTCCTAGACCCACATAGAAGTTGCATGTGAATTTGTCTGACAAAGCTTGTAATACACAGCAAATTAGCTATGAGCTAATTTGGATATTCTTCCACTTGCTATTTCAGATTATTGGTCAAGGACTATATTTGAAGTCTGTTTGGGACATATGTTAGTTTCTTTATCTTCCATATGCAGATTCTTTCCTGTAACGCCATTTGCTAAAAGTGCATTAATAGCATTTCTGGGACACCATTTTGCCTTCCCTTTTAAATCTTCTTCTTTTTCTTTCTAATGTATTTGTGTTTCAATTATCATCTCTTTAATGCACTCTTATACCAAGCATTGCCAAGTTGTAAAGTCATAACATTAACTGGTCTTTCAAGTCATAAATACACAAAATGCTTAAACAGCTTAAGCTGCAGACAAAATGGGTTCTTCTTTTTCTAAATGTGTGAGGAAAAGAAAATGTCCTGTCCTTATTTCACACACAGAATGAAGGAAAGGAGAAATCTGAAAAACAAGCCATTTTCTCTTTCATGAACCCTGTAATTTGGAGATGTAAAGAAAAGGTATTTGGTTACCCGGGTTTCTCTTTCTCTTTCTCTCTCTCACAACACACACAGATTGGTATTTTTTATAAGGGTGTTCCTATAATTTATCTCAATATTAATTATGCAAAGGAAAATCACAGAAAAGATAATCACAGAAAATCACATTGCTACAATTAATTTTTAAAGAGAAAAGGTCAGATGACAAAACCTGCAATTTCGGAGGAGAGAAATGGACTAAGCTGATGGTGCAGTTCACAAAATATTTTAAAACTCAACAGACTGCCTGATTTTTTTATTTTTTTGTATGCTAGGCAATTATAGGTCTTGTGTTTTTCTTAGACCCAAGCCAAGAGCAAGCAGATTTAGCCAAAACCAGAGTATAATGGCCGAAGTTTCTACTTGGAACTATCCTTTATATTCCCCTACACAAAAAATACTTGAAGTTCTGCTGAGGAAGACAAAGAAGGTTTCAGTAAATCAACTGTAATAAAGAGGTTAGATGTGAAAAATTGACATCGTCTACCTTCCAACATCTTTTGCATTTGAGATGGCCTGTCCCAATCTATGAACCTCTAAGAATTGAAACAGGCAAGGAAGGCATCAGCATTGCTCAAAGCAGACAGAACCACTCTGTAGCTAAATCGCAGGTGTCTTCCGGTCTCATGACTGGGAAAATAACAGCCAAAAAGCAGAGGAGGGAGGGAGGGAGGGAGGGAGAGAGAGAGAGAGAGAGAGAGAGAGATGGTCTAGAGTGGAGCTCTTGCCTCACAATCAGGAGGCTGTGAGTTCAATCCTAGGTAAGGCAGATATTTCTCTCTCTGGGCACACTGAGAATATATCTGCTGAACAAAACTCCACATTGGGGACAGGAAGGGTATCCGGCCATTAAAATGCTCTGCTAGCTCCATTCAGTTGCCCAGACTCCACCCTGCAAGGGATTATGGGTTCATTAAATGAAGATGATGACGGATGGACAGACGGATGGTGTGTGTGTGTGTGTGTGTGTGTGTGTGTGTGTGTGTATTGAAACGTCGCCAAGATACTCTCAATCTTACATGGGAAAAGACGCAATATATAGATAGATAGATAGATAGATAGATAGATAGATAGATAGATAGATAGATAGATAGATAGTATTCAGCTTTGTTCGGGTATTTTCCCACGTCATTATAGTTGTGCTTTTAAAAGTTGTGCTTTAAAAGCACAACTATAATGACGTGGGAAAATACCTGAACAAAGCTGAATACCATGCATGTAAGTACCCGCGAAAACTTAAGAAAACATATATATATTCATATATATATATTCAGCTTTGTTCAGGTATTTTCCCACGTCATTATAGTTGTGAACAATACAGAAGCCTGAGCGAGGTTCTGAGTTAACTGTTGATTAGGTAATTTTAGAATGCTCTAAAATATGAGTACATCCCCTCCAAAAAAAAAATACTTTAAAAAAAAGCATCTCTTGGCTTACAGCAAGGAACAGGTTACTTATTTTATTCCAATTTTCACACCATCTATTTTTCCGGACTAGACCAGCCTAGCCTTGCTCTCATTCTCAGACCTCTCAAAGTTAATTGACTGCAACAGTGCTTTTAATTTAAATTCATAAGCAGTGAATGATGACTTCTCTTTTGCTATGAGCCACGGTGGCGCAGTGGTTAGAGAGCAGTACTGCAGGCTACTTCTGCTGACTGCAATTTGGCAGTTCAAAACTCCCCAGGCTCAAGGAGGACTCAGCCTTCCGTACTTCCAAGATGGGTAAAATGAGGACCCAGATTGTTGGGGGGGGGGGGAGCAATAGGCTGACTCTATAAACTGCTTAGAAAGGGCTGTAAAGCACTGTGAAGCGGTATTAAGTGCTATTGTTATTGCTTATCCCTTTCTGGATCACAAAAACTTGTGGGTGCCCCCCCTCAATCATTTCTTTAGGCCTTTTAGTCTTTCCTAAGCCCTATTTAAACTGTAAGCAAACATCAATAAGAATATTTGTAGGTCAGGGTTGAAAGGAGGGGTCCTTGTTGCTCTCTGAGCTGGGTTGTTTGCTTGCAGACATTTTATTATCCAAACTAGGTAACATCATCAGTGCTAGTAACTGCTAGGCAAACCCCATTCCTTACAAACATCTAGGATTCCTCAAAACAAGCATCAGGTTATGATTTTCTTAGCACATAGTTTGCACTAAATATCAAATTGCCACAATCATGAAAGCTATTTTGGGGGGTGAAACAGGACATTTTCCCATCCCTTTTGGCTACCCTTGCTAAGACAGACTGCAGTAACATTTAGCCAAATCTCTGCTTGTTCGTTCATCACTTCCAATTTGAAACAGATCCATTATAACCCGTCACAAGGCAGAGAAGAGGAGAACTCTAAACCAATTACAATTAGACTAAATATTTGAGGTATTTGCAACACTTTAAAACAAGGATTTAGGAGTGAATATAAATTCATCCTAAAAGCGCTTTCAGATGGCCATTGCATTCCTTGATATTATTTGCATACATTTTATTATTTGTACTGATATTATTTGCACTGTGGAGCTATATTTGTTTAGCAGCATTATTTCCACTGTTGGTTTTTAACCCATTATCAGAGGCAAAACTATCAGCGTTAGTCTGAAAAATGACTTGTCTGCTCATTTCCTCAATAATTCTTAGCTCTTTCCAGCACACCACAACTGATCTGTTGGCATGCTTACTTTCTAGAAGCTACTTAAAAAAAAAACAGAAAAAACAAATTTAAAAAAGCATGTAATTCACAATATGACAATAGGTTTGCTGGCAAAAACAATATTCTACATTTCTTTCTTGAAATATTATGTTTATCAAAACCTCCAAAAGTTTACAGTATTGTGATTAGCCATCACTGCCATTGAACACTTCATGCCTACATAAATTATTACAATACATAATTTTTATTTCTCAGGAGTTCTTGGCACACCTGCAAAATTAGGGGGGGGGGAGGCATTTATTCTACACTGGAGGGAAAAACATTTACTGGCTTACCAGTCAATAAAAATGTGCATTCCAACCTGTCAGCCTGGGAGAGAACGAGTGAAGGAATTTTTGGACAATACAGTAGAGTTAAATCTCCTGAAAGTTAGTGTACATTTCAGGATTTTTTTTTAAAGTACAGGAATAAGACTAAAAAGGACACAACTTAAGAAGATGAGGCAGAAAATGAGTTAAAAACTATTTCCGCATTGATAAAAACAGTGCAATTTTAAAAAAGTCACTTCATTATAGATTTGTATCTATTAACAGTTATTGATTTACACAGCTAATTCATACAGTTTGTATTGAATTCTAATACAAGTATCAGTATGAAGGGACAAAGTTATTTCCCCAACCATAAGCAACTAAGAAGTTGCAATAAAGAAAACCTTGGCATTTGCAGAAGGGAAAACGCTATCAGATACAATTTCAGCTCTAGATACTTTAACACACAATGTTTCGTAACACATCTTACAGCAGTGGGGATCCATGCTGAATATTAAGCAGGACGTGTTCTCTATTTAGTGCAGAGAGTCGTAGCATATTGCTCTCATAAGCTCTAAAGTTCCTGCATTGAAGCAATCAGAGCTTAACATCTAAACTTCACATGTTTATTTAGCTATTTTTGTAAAGGTTTGGATGAGAACTTACTGTAGTGTTCCAGTTGATCTGTGGTATTCTTGAGTGGAGATTTAGGCTGAACATAAGCAATAGAACTCCAGTAACTACCAAGGCGCTACAGCTGACAAATTCAAAAAAATAAAGTCCTTCACAAGGAGAACATTCCATGATGGTCTCTATGCAGATGAAGGAAATCAAAGCCAAAACCTAAGACATGAAAAACAGGAAAACAGTATTGTAACATTCTGAATATATAGTCACCAATAATACTAAAGCATACATTGGGAAGTAGATACTTAACAATGTGCAGTACCCAATAAGATTCGTGATATAAAACCAAACATGACAACTTTAAGACTTGTAGACTTCAACTCTCCACCCCATGGCTGGCTGGGGAATTCTGGGAATTGAAATCCACAAGTCTTAAAATTGCCAAATTTGGAAACCCGATATACAGAATTCAACACAAATTACCCCAAAGCTAGTTTGCTTCTACAGTATACGGCAAGCCAAGACGCATTCATCTATAATTTACTGGATAAACGATTGTATGTATTGGAGATCTATTAAAGGGCACTTCTGAGGAGTTATGAATTGTTTCCAAATATAAATCAATGCAAAGAATCTGAACCAATAATTGTATTAGTGAAATGTGTTTTCTTATAGGAGTTCCCATATACTTTAACTTATGAAATTTAAGGAGGCTGTAGATATCATAATCTCCTACTTGTAACTTTGTGTTTACCCATTGCTGCTGCTATTATTGTTGTTGTTGTTATTGTTATCATAGAAAACTTATGGAGAAAGAGTTCCCTCAAGTTTGGAAGCTCTTCAGTATTCTGTTTGGTTTAAAAGCTGGATGGGACACAGAAATGGTATTTAGCCGGTTCTGACCAGTTCTGGAGAACCGGTAGCAGAAATTTTGAGTAGTTTGGAGAACCAGCAAATACCACCTCTGATTGGCCCCGCCCCATCTATGCTCTGCCTCCCATTGAGTCCCAGCTGATTGGCTGGGTCTTCTTTGGTTGCCCTGCACAGGAGAATGGAGCTGGAAAGCAGGTTAATGGGGTGGGGAGGGAACGGGGATTTTGCAGTATCCTGCCACTCCCATCAAGCCACACCACACCACATCCACCAAGCCACGGCCACAGAACTGGTAGTAAAAAAATGTGAATTCCACCACTGATGAGACAGCTTTCTTTACTTGGTTGCAAAGATAAAGTATAATCTGATTTTCATACTACAAATATAATGGAAAATCGTTCTAAGTCATCCCTAAACCTTTTGCAATCATGGCTCCCTTTACTATAATATTAATAAACGTACTTCCCCTTAAAATGAACACCAAAATGAACACAAATGGCAAATAAAACAATACAACGAAACTCTGAAAAGGTGAGTTTATTGTAACAGTGTAATGAATAAAGGTTCCTTCACACCTCTCCTGTATTCTGCCTGCATTTCCCCAAGAAAGGGACAAATCACAGTTCAACTCAAATCCCAGCCATGAAAAAGTTGTACATTTTTGTTTTCAAACCTCTATACGTCGTTCACCTTCATGCTGCTTTGCTGTGGGAAGCAAAACTTTGCATAAATTCACCAACTCCTTGTAAAGAACCACTGGATTTTTTCTGACTCAGATAATTTTCCAATGAAAAAATGATACAGTCATATTTTCAGGGACTTCCTAAAGGCCAGCAAAATTGATACCGATCTAACTTCTACCCAATTTTACCCTGTTCATGCTAATTCTCAAGGCACGTATGTGTCATGCAAAGAAAGGTACTTATTTCTAAAACATCCCCAAGCATGTTGTAAATGAAACTGGTGGTACAAAATAAAATGTGGCATTGGTTTATAAATTTCCCCCAAATTGTTTTAGTTCTTCACTTTAGTTCTTTTACAACTGTTCAGGGTCAAAGAACAGCAGCCAAAAAGAGCTTTTCCCAAATATTTTGTCCTATTGTAAAGGACACAGATATTTTTGCTGCTGCTTTGGGATTGGCCTCGAACAGCACCAAAACAAGAAAGAAAGAAAATGAATTGTAGCCGCACCAGATCCACCTCGGCAAATCACCTTAATTAAGTATTACTGTCAAAAACTGAGAAAAATGAAGACAATGCACTGAAGTTTAAATGTAACCTCAGCAGAAGTTTTCATAGGGAAAAAGAATGCTACCATTACATTTTCCCTATTTAGCTGGCTGCATTTTATTGTTTGATAAATTGGGCAATAAAATCGTTTTTTAAAAAAACCTTCGATCGTGACAGCTTTTTTTTTTTTTTTAAGTCTTCCTGTTTATCTGAAGAGGCCCATAAAAAGACTTATTGTGTGTGGTTCAATGACATAATTATGATCCTGATTGTGAAAAACCACCCAATAGTGTATTTCTTCTCCCCCACTTAAGTATATTCAGGATCTTGGGACAAAAACTTTTAACAGGTGTTACTTTATCTTGTAATATGCTAAAACTGATAGTACATCCTAACACAGGGATGGGGAGGGATGGAGAAAATGGTGCTTGGAATCCCCCAAACCTAGAAGATCAGATGCTGAGCTTTTCCACTGGAAGTTTGACAGTGGAGACCCATGCACTGGAGACCTCCAGCTGCTGCCAAAGCCTACAAATGCAAGTAGATAATAGGTACCACTTCAGTGGGAAGATTTTAGTGTTTAGTTTAGTTTACTTTATTGTCATGGCACCTCGTACAAGGAAATCAAACGCCATCTTCAGTGCACAAAATGACCATGAAAATAAACACAGACACACATCCTTCACCCACCATACATTGAACCCAAAACCCCAGACACGGCACCAACACTGCACTCACTATACGGTAGAATTCAAAAGAGCTGCTGCCCTGGGATAGAAGCTGTTTTTCAGCCTATTTGTCCTTGTTTTTATTATCCTGTACCGTCTGCCAGATGGTAATCGTTCAAAAAAAGGGTTCCTAGGATGAGATGGATCTTTGAGAATGTTTTGAACTTTCTTAAGGCAACGGGAGCTATAAAGCTCTTCCAAAGAGGGGAGAGGGCAACCCATGATCTTCTGGGCAATGACATTAACCCTCTGGAGTGCTTTCCTATCTGTCCCTGTACAATTGGCAAATCATACAGAGGTGCAGTAAGTTAAGATACTCTCTATGGTGCAGCGGTAGAAGGTCACCAGCAGTTTTTCATTCAGCTGTTGTTTTTTGAGAAGTATAATTTCTGCTGTGCCCTTTTGACCAGGGCTGCAATGTGAGCACCCCAGATCAGGTCCTCTTTTATGGTAACACCCAAAAACTTAAAACTGGCCACTTGCTCCACTCGGTCTCCATTGATATGCAAGGGCTGGATGTCTGATCTATTCCTTCTATAATCCACTATAAGCTCCTTGGTCTTATTGGTGTTGAGGACCAAGTTATTGTCTCCACACCACGAAAGCAATAGCAGCGTTCCGTATGTCTTGGCATACAGTCATGCTGGACACATGACCACAGAAATGTCTCTGGACAATGTTGGTTCCCTTGGCTAAGAAACAGAAATGAGCACTGCCCCGTAGAGTCGCATACGACTAGACATTGGAAACCATTACCTTTACCTTTTAAATATATCTTAATATCAAATCTCTGTCTTGTACTTAGGTTTAGATGTGTTATTCTGATTTAACCTGGCTAGCACAAAGTAGGCCTCAACTCCCTAACCCACCAGGTGTTTTATCTAGATCTTCTAGAACTAGAAGCTTGTTAGATAAACAAGCTTTCCTCAAATTCCTTTGGCTTAGTTGGGTAGATACTGCCATCCCATGGACCAATAACATTCAACAGCCGACCTGTCTCCAGGGGCTTTAGGTATGTCAACATTCACCTGCTCATCCCACTCCATCCAGATCAAGTAAAAGAAAGGGACTGACAGCTATTTTCTCAACTACCACAATTGGGAAACAAAGCCAGGAGACTCCACCAATTGCATTCCAGAAGGCCCAATTCCGAAACTTTAAGGATATTCACCAGCCTTGTGGTGTTATGTAATGCTACCGTAGAAAACTTTACTGCCAGCTCAAGGATTGGTGGGTTTGTCTGGCTGTGCTCAGAGACATTAAAACAGGACTGGAACCCTCAAAAGTATTCTGAACTTCAATTCCCGCCAACTTTGACAGCAGTGACAAGAAATGGTGACGGTTCTATTAGAAACATCTGGAGGATGTGGTTAGGTTGTGTATTCCCAGTCCAAACGCAACAAGCACCTCCTTGCAACCACTCAGAAGGGAAATGGGAAGCTCACTCGTCACAGATTCACTGGTGTGGTTAATGATTATGGTGCTGGACTATGACCAAGGAGACTTGTGATCAAATCCACCAACTGTCACAGAAACTCACTAGGTGCCTTGGGAGCAGGTCCAACCTACTTCACAGTGTTCTTAGGAGAATAAAAAAAGCAGAGTAACAGCACTGGAAGGGCCTTCTAGGGTAACCCACTAAAACTGCCAGGGTCATCTGTATTATTGCTTCTACATTCATATTTTATGAAATTTTATTATGTTACATGTCTCCTTTATAGTTTTGTTAATAAGCTTATGTATTTTTCTTGCAGTGTTTTCTAAAGGCCATTAAAAAGGTTTGATTTGAGTTGATAAATCTCTAGTAAACAATAAATTTTAAGGTGTGTTTTAGCTTAATATTTCAATGGAATTGGAATAAAGAAAAAAGCAAGTCTCATTTAAAGTAACAGCTTTCATTTCAAACAGCAGTTACTTAAGATTTATTAAAGTGTCTATCTGATATTCAATTAAGCAAAATGCAAGAATTTTAGTATAACCTAAAAGGAATCCACTAGAATAAGAATGTTACCAAATCAAATAAAAATGTTCACAATATCAGGAATTTCAAATTTTCAATCTGATATCTCTCTTAGATGCCATGCTTTAGAACAGTCTAGACATACTGGAAAAATAGGAATATAAAAAAATAAATCTGTTAGCCACAACACTAAGAATATAGTGTTCTTCCAACACAAATATTGGACCGATTTCATGTTTCATTAATATTTCATTTAAAAAGCACAGATTAAATTTTTAAAAAAGTATAAACATAGGCCAGGCTAGAAATTTCATAAAATTAGAAGAGCTGTTTTCTAAAAAAAAAACAAAATTCAACATTATCCTTGTATATTCATTAAGTATGACAGAAGTTCAAATGAAAGGCATTTTATTTATTTATTTTTA